TATATTAGTGCTGTCAAATGATTAATCGCGGTAATGTCATGAGGGTGAGCAAATTATGCCTTTTTAATTCTAACCATAGCTTTAATGGCGTAGGTGACAATGGGCAAGAGAATTCATTTCAGAGGTTCTTACATTTAGATGAAAGATCATGAAAATATTTTTCCACCTTTGAAATAACATTTTCAGGATTTCATGTTCCCTGAATTCTATTATCTGGATGCCCATTGGTAGCTGACATGATGGAGACACAAAATGCACCGATATTAACACAAGTGAAGAGCACTCCAAACACAGACAGACCCTCTCATCCCATTTACAAATAAAATATGTAATTGTGTCATTTTGTGCCAAAACACACAATGTGTTCCACATAATTGAAAAGGGATGACATTCACAGCCTGGATAAGAGCACAGCAGCCAAAACACAGAAAAGAGCCTGATTCTCCTCAGCTAAATAGGCCATTTCTATTCAGTGGAGGCATTTCAGTCAAGCCACGTCAGTCATATGAATGGATGTTCATACTCATGTGTTAATCAGTGTAAATCCACAGGCTGTAATATTCTGCCTGGGTTAATTACTGTAAAAAATGGCAGGATGGATTTCACACGATTTGTTACAATAAAATATTGTGTTCAGACTGAACTCTATTGTGAAAGACTAGCTCAACAAATTACAAACATAACTAGATTAAAAGTGTGGAACACCCACAAACCCTCGAGTTTAAATAATCTGAAGTCTCCATTATGGTAATTAGCTTAATATTTAGTTAGGAATTTGGCTCTTAACTAGTATTATTTAATCTTTGTCTGAATAATAGTGTTAAAAGTGTAATGAATGACTTCAAGTCTCCCATGATAAATGTAACAATAAATTTGCTAAATTATTTAAGTAGCACTGATCCGAAATTATAAAGGTGAGAGCAATACTATGACGCGCTATTGTGAACTTCTACATAAAATATAAAAAGTTAATAAACCAGTAAACAGTAAACAAAACACGCAGCTGCATAATTTATTCATGCTGTGGTCATTAAAAACTAAAACTGTTTTCTTTGAAATACAGCTGAAATAAAATATAAATATCACATGAAGAACCTAAATGAAAAATGTAAATAAAAATAGAAATGTTGCCTTGCTGAAATAACTGAAATAATATAATTGAAGTTGCAGTATTAAAATTAAAACTAAAACTGAAATAAAAATAAATGAAAACTAAACTAAAAAATAAATATAAAAACATGAATTAATATGACAAACGCACATAACAAAATTACTCAAACTAAAATAATAAATGAAAATATATAAATAAAAGCTACTTAAAACTTAAATAACAAATTTAAATTAGAAATGTTGCCTTGGCAACTAACTGAACTAATTGAAGTTAAAATAAATTAAAGCTAAACAGAAATATAAAACAGTCAAAATTACAAAAGCATATAACAAGCTAAAAATAAAATGATATTTAAAAATAAAAGCAAATTATATTAATTATAACTAAATATTAACAGTACTAAAATAACTCCGATTAAATATCTGTCATCTGTAAATATACGAGAGATTACTGTAATACAGACACAGAAAGTCACTTCCTGTTTACAGTGAGGTCACAGTATACGGCAGCCATGATAATAAACTGCAGAACTACTACAGTAAAAATGCCTGTGCAGTAGTATGCAGTTACTTCACACTGAATGCTTTCCCACTCCTGATGTGATAGTAGCTCGTCTTTTCTGCAGATCACTGAAATGAAAAGAAGCAGGTCTACAGAGGGAACATCTGCTCTTTGCATAAATGCATGACACATGCAGAAATATCCGACGCTTTCTGCACCAGCGTCTCACTAATGGGAGAATCTATTCTCCTCTCATTTCGGCCCCGAAATGATACGGCCCACTTCACAAACAAATGTCGCAGAGGCTCGTATAGTGAATATTGAGAGCTCGGACGCATGTAAAATCCAGCAGTAAACCACAACAGGCCATGCAATGATGTTACCGTATTTTTCTAGCCATTGATAAAACACAAAAGACAAATTTAATGCAAAACTAATCTCAGGCGTGAAGTTGAGATCAGACAATCACACCTTCACCAAAGATCAATGCCACTAATCGATGCTCCGATTAGTTGTGGAGTCTTGAAGGTCATCCATAAAGGTGCATGAAATACTGCTATAAAAATGTACACTGAGCATGTATCTCCGCAAAACTAAAGAACTGAAACTTTAGTTGACACAAAACGGATGTTGCAACTGACTTTACTAACTTATTGTGGCGTATTTCCAAGTTTAATGGCTAAATGATGGCAGGACTTGATTTTATCCATCAGTTGTTGATTTGATTGTGAAAATTGAGCATTACAAACTGGATATAAAGGCAGAACAACTGAATGCGATTGGCTGCAGTGCGGCCCCACATACACTACTATTTCAAAGTCTGAGGTCAGTAAAGATTTTTTATAAGAAATTAATATTTTTATGCCATTAGATGCATTAAATTGATAAAAAGTGACAGTAAAGGCAGTAAATATTTCTATTTTTCTTTTGAGCTTTCTATTCATTAAAGAATCCTAAAAATATATAACAGTTTCCACAAAAATATGAAGCAGCACAACTGTTTTCAGCATTGATAATAATCAGAAATGTTTCTTAAGCAGCAAATCAGCATATTAGAATGATTTCTGAAGGATCATGTGACACTGAAGACTGGAGTAATGATGCTGAAAATTCAGCTTTGATCACAGGAATAAATTACATTTGAAAATATATTCAAATAGGAAACAGCTATTTTAAATTGTAATAATATTTTACATTTTAAATTACTGCTTTTACTGTATTTCTGATCAAATAAATGCAGCCTTGGTGAGCAGAAGAGACTTCTTTCAAAAACATAAAAAAATCTCACCGTCCCCAAACTTATGGTAGTGAACATCATAGACATCAAATTAGCATATCACAGGAAGAGCAAGTTATTATTTTATGATTACAAGGTAAGAAATGCATATATGAAAAATAAATGCACAGCTGATTCATCCACATTAAGATCTGTATGCATTAAGAAATTAAATGGGGTCAATTTTGATTTAATGTTAACATCTTTGCCAGAAATATTTGTAGAAATGTACCATTTATAAAGTGTCAGCTTCATTCTGTGATCTAAATTTTGCTTCTTGTTTATTAATATTGCAGAATTAATAATATTCTATATATCAAGTTCTGCTGTATTATGAATGATATTTCTCAATATTTCTTATTCACCCAAAGCCTCACAGAAATTTCCATGGAGATTTAGATTTTCATTTCCTATTCTCCAATAAGCAACATAAATAAATGCTTGATAACTGATGGTGTAGTCGTTATGTCGTATCTTGCCAATCCGTTACTGAAAATGTACATGTCAGTGAGCCTCCAACAGGTCAAATCCTGTAAACGTCAAACAAAAGCAAAACACATGCTGCCATTTCAGCACTTGACCCTGGTATTTGCTGCTTGAAGCTATAATACTGAATATATGATTACAATATTTTTTGATAAAATGCATAGATTTGGTCCTGGATTCTGCTTGGCCAATACAGTGTTATAGAAATGCTTAAAAAAGCAGACCTGTGCACCCATAGAGACCAACTATTAACATTAGTATACATGTCAGGAACTACATTTTGTAGCGTAAGCCATGTAATATTGACTAACAATGACCCTGTACTCGAGATATCAACATCGACTAATGAAAAACCCATATTCCCAAATAATTCTACAACTACTGCAGAAGTTGACTTCCAGCCTGTGCACCTGAGACTCTGAACCATGAGAAACAGCACTATGGTAATGGCGTGTCTGCACTGAGGTGGCGAGAGCTCATTACTGAGAAACACAAAGCTCAGGAGAACGAGAGGAACAGACAGATGGTGCTTTACAGGCATGATGCGACCCTGGGCCGCGGCGGTCAGCTCCACTGGGGCGGCCCACATGCATCACATGCGACAGCGCAACAAACTCTGATTCAGCTGAAGATCCGCGGACGCGTGCTCTCACTGGCCTAATGCTCGCCTGTCGGCTTTCATTTGACTCAGGATAGAGTCTGATGCTTCACAGCTATGCTGTGCAAAGAAATATTACGGGTTCTGGACAAGCTAAGCTCAATCGACAGCATTTGTGGCTTAATGTTGATTACAAAAATTATTTCCATTCACTTCCTTTAAAAAAAAAATTCAAAAAAAAATTCAAAACTTAAGGTTATAATGAGGGTCTTTTAAATGGAAGTGAATGGGGCCAGTTTGTGGAGGATTAGAATAGTGAAGCATATAATTTTGCATATATTTATATTTACAAAAAGGTTTTGGGGTTGGCTTCACACAGAAATGGTTAAGTGATTTTTTATACTAAAACCATGTTAACATATATTGTTTTATGTCACGTAGCTGAGCTATAAAAAATAAGAGTATTTTTACAAATCAGCCCTATCCACATCCATTGTAAGTGTCTTATTGTAACAGATTTTTTTTCTTGCGTTTTAAAGAAAAGTATGAACAAGGGGAAAAATACAGTACTATTTTAAAATAATATTGCTATTTAAAATAACTGTTTTCTGTTTGATTATATTTCAAAATGTAATTTATTCCTGTGATGCAAAGCTGAATTTTCAGCTTCATTACTCAAGTCTTCAGTGTCACATGATCCTTCAGAAATCATTCTAATATGCTGATTTGTTGCTTAAGAAACATTTATTATTATTATTATTATTGATGTTGAAAACAGTTGTGCTGCTTCATATTTTTGTGGAAACCATGATACATTTTTTCAGGATTCTTTGATGAATAGAAATTTCAAAAGAACAGCATTTATTTGAAATACATTTTTAAAAATATATTTTAAACGTTTTTTTACTATCACTTTTGATCAATTTAATGTCCCTTTGCTACATAAAAGTATGAATTTATTTTTTAAAAATCTTACTGAGCCCAAACTCACTTTTATATGCCAACTTCTGACTATTTGGTCATCCTACCTTGGACCATTCGCCGGTCTTCCACTCATAACATTTGGAGTGATCCTCACACATCTCCACCTCTGCAGGACGAGACACGGGATCACAGAGACCCTGAGGATTGGTGCAGGTCACTGTCCTCTTCCTGCTGCCGCGACCACATTCAGAGGAACACTGAGACAGACAAAGACAACGAGATGTCAGAGGATAACACCAGGAAAATAAGTGAGCAATTGGGTGCAAAGAAGAATGGAGATAAATAAAGACATAAGCAAGAGCGCTGGTCATTAAAACTGGCTTCCTGTGGAGTCTCACTTCGCCGCTGACTAAATCCACTCTAATGAAGTGCTTACAACATCAACATCAAGATCTGAAACGAGACCCAGACGCTCAAAAACAACCACAGTGCCCTCCATAGGCCAGGACAAACGCCACAGACACAAGCGCACATATCTTTTCTTAGAGACCCTCACATGTCCAACAGTACAGGATGCGTCTCATAAAAGCAACTGTCTTTATAGAATATACTTTTTATGACAAGTCATCATATTATATTAATCAAGGCTTCTCGCACCAGAAAATGCTGTAATTTTAGTACATATTTTGACATTTTTCACCCTCTGTGTACCTTTAAACTATAACAGATGGGCGTTAGTATGTAAATGTCATATCTTAAGAGGCCATTTACACAGAATGTGGTTTTGCATTCTACTGTATTTTGCTGCTTTCCATTGTTTTTCTGCTAAATGGATGTCTTTGACCACTGTGCTCATGTTAAAAAAAGTTCAGCTCTTAAACAATCCCTTTTAAGACCTTGCTTTTTTTTCCTTTCCACTGTCCTGCATCTTGCGTTTTCTGTGTGAGCGTCCTTTAACTGTGATGAATTCTGAATTTCGACAGCATTTATGGCACAAATTTGCATTTTTATGCAACTGGCAGATGCTCTTATCCAAAGTGACTTACAATGCATTCAAGATACACATTTCTTGCTTTCCCTGGGAAAAGTCATGACCTTGGCAGTGTTAACGCCATGCACTCTTGTTTGAATTACATAAATTTTGAAATTGGCTTTCAAAACATTTCAAGCCAAAAATAGTTTAAAATAGTTTTTTAAACTGAGTCTCTTTTTTATTCCACTGCTCTGCATTTCATGTTTTCTGTGTGAACGGCTCTTAAATGTGACAAATTGTGAACAAACCATTTTTGCATTTTTCCATAAATATAATGGAGCTTTATTTTGCGAATGTTAGGGGCCATTCACACAGAACATGCTCTTGCATTTCTGTATCTGTGTAATTTTTTAATCATTATTCTGTAAAGATGCACTAGACAGTAGGGCAGCAAAACGATTAATCGCGATTAATCGCATTCAAAATAAAAGTTTTTGTTTACATACTATTTGTGTGCGTACTGTGTATATTTATTATGTATATATAAATACACACACACGTATATATTAAGGAAAAATATGTTAGATTTATATATAAAATATTTATATTTATATTTATATATAATATAAATTATATACAAGTATAAATATATATACATACAAATATTTTTTAAAATATATACATACATGTGTATTTATATATACATAATAAATATACACAGTACACACACATATAGTATGTAAACAAACGTTTATTTTGAATGCGATTAATCGCGATTAATCGTTTTGCAGCCCTACTAGATGGATGTATTTGACCATTGCAACACGTCGCACTGTATTTTCAGCATCTAATGGCACCAGTGCTGCATTTTTATTTGTATTTATTGTATTTATAATGCTGATTATCACAAAAATTATTTCAACTCGTCCATCCTTTTCTTTAAATTAAACAAAAATGTTGTGACAGCATTTGTTGCATAATATTGATTACCAGAAAATAATTTAAACTTGTCCTTCCTTTTCTTAAAAAAAAGGCAAAAATCAAGGTTACAGTGAGGCACTTACAGTGATAGTGAATCTGGCCAGTTTTTGGAGGATTTAAAATAATTTAAAAGCAGAAATGTGAAGTTTATCATTTATAAAATATGCATTAATTCCTCTGTTAAAACTAGTATTATTACTAGTATTATTTGATCTTTAAAGCTGTTTAAATCCTAATTTTTAATAGGGTTTTAGGGTTAATGGCTTATGTTAACATGTTGACAAAGTAATATAACTTATATACGTATAAAGTTGCATATATAACTTTACACAGAAAAGGTTAGTAAGAGATTTTTCCACACTGAAATCATGTTAACACGTGTTGTTTAAGTCTTGTGGCTGTACTACTGAGTAAGTTACAGTGAGGAAATTGCAATTTGGAGGGTTCAAACAAAAATGCAAAGCTTATAATTTCATTAAAGCACCTACATTCATTCATCTGTGCGGTTTTTAAAAGATAGTCAGGTTAAAGTTGGTCAAAAAAGTTTTTGGGTCAATCAGATGAATTCTGGAGAAGTATTTTGAGTGCATTGAGTGTCTTCTATTCAAGTATCCTGTGCTACATTATGCTGTTTTTAAGCAAGAATGCTTAAAATATGTTTAAACATTAGACCAAACTAATGTACAATGTACATACAAGAGCAATAGCAAAATCTGCTGTCCATGATGTGGCATCTTTAAATAATTCCTGCTGACTTGAGCTCAAACCTTGGACCATTCGGAGGCCTCCCAGACGGTGAGGCAGTGGCGCCCCTCGCAGTGCTGTACGCTGGCTGGTTTGTAGCTCAGACAGTACAGGTCTCTGGTGGGGATGTACGTGCCATTTTGCAGCTGGTACACGCAGCCAACTTCCCTCTGCTGCAAGCCTTTCCCGCAGGTTACTGAACACTGCGCCCATTCGCCTGTCACCCACCTGAGAGAAGCAGAAAACACAGAGAAGACGTTAATACAACTGTTTTGTCATTATTAAAGGGTTAGTTCACCCAAAAATGATAATTAGCCCATGTTTTACTCACCCTCAAAGCATCCTAGGTGTATATGACTTTCTTCTTTCAGACGAATCCAATCGGTGTTATATTAAGTATTATCCTTGCTCTTCCAAGCGTTAGAATGGGAGTAGGCGGGTGTTTTTTTCAACAGTCCAAAAGTAGTCAAATAAAGCGCCTCCATCCATAATAAAAATTGCCTCACACGGCTCCGGGGGGTGAATAAAGGCCTCCTGTAGTGAATCGATGCGTTTTTGTAAGAAAAATATCCATATTTAAAACGTTATAAACACTTTTCTCTCACTTCTGCTGACTGTCGTACGTGCAAGCCATTCCGCCGGTGATTCGTGACGAACGCAGGAGCGTAGCGGAGAGACAGCAAAACAAAATGCCGGTCATGAATTAGAAGAATGTAGGAGGATTTCGATATAAGCCAAGATGAGACTGGTTTTCCTTTGCAAAAGTATGGAAAGTATGCTTCCTTTGCTCCTGTAAACAAACTCGCAAGACTAGCATATCTCACTGGCGCGTACACTATGCCGACATCCTACGTCATCCGCCGAAACGTCTTGCACGTACGACAGTCAGCAGAAGTGAGAGAAAAGTTTTTATAACGTTTTAAATATGGATATTTTTGTTACAAAAAAGCATGGATTCGCTACAGGAGGCCTTTATTCACCCCCTGGAGCCGGGTGAGGCACATTTTAATATGGATAGATGTGCTTTGACTACTTTTGGACTGTTGAACAAAAACACCTGCCTACTCCCATTCTAATGCTTGGAAGAGCAAAGAAAAATTAATATAACTGATTGGATTCGTCTGAAAGAAGAAAGTCATATACACCTAGGATTCCTTGAGGGTGAGTTAAACTTGGGCTAATTTTCATATTTGGGTGAACTAACCCTTTAAAGTCCTTGTCAATATTCAATGCATTAAACTGTAGTGAAAGAGATCTGAAGTCTGAAAATTAACACGTGTACACTGAAACAAGTCCTTAAAGTCAAGCATTTGCAACCTTCTGTAATGTGATGAAAAACGCAGCCAACATCATATGTTACAAGTCAGTAAACATCATAAAATCTGGATGTTTTAATCGTCAGTTTACAGTCTGACTGAAAATAGCAGATGATTATCTTTATTGCCACATAAGCAGTCATGAAATGCACTTGTGATTTACATGCAGAAAATCTCAACAGATGAAACCGAGAATAAAAATAGAGCCGTCTTTATTAACTGCTTAAACGACACAATGAAAGATGACAGAGAAGCATGTGGAAACCTACAGAAAGCTCTTCTGTCCCACACTCACATCCCACTCTTAGAAGCACCAAAATCGATTTTGCAGTTATAGACAGAAATAGAGGTGTGCAATTACTTTTCTAAGTGATCGGACTTACATCATACCCAATAAAAAGGGGTGAAAAAGTCCCTGAGAAGTACATTGATGGAGGCACTTGAGCCTTATCTACAGATCAGAATATCCACTTGGAATTGGGCTTATTAGACTGAGAACACCCTGTAAGACATCCAGAACACCCTAGCAACAACCTAGTAGTGTTATTTTAGTGTTATTTATACACTAATTTAGTATTTATTGATGTTTTGAATAATCTTTTATTTTGATATTTTCAGTTTTCATTTTAATGTTAAAATTTGAGTCATTTTATTACTCTTTGTACTTTTTTTTTGTTTCAGTTAGTTGACAAGGCAAAACTCCAAATTCTTTTTATCTTTATTTTTCATTTTTATGTTTTAGTCATTTTAATTTATTACTTTTTATTTTATTTTTATATAGTACTTTTATTTGATTTTTGACAAGCCAAAACTCCAAATATTCACTTACGGTTTTAAAATTTGTAGAGTTTAAGTCATCTAATATTAATATTTTATTTAATATTAACTATTTTTAATAATTTCAGTGTTAGTTAAAAATAACAACCCTGCAAACCAGATGCACAGTAGTGAGTTCTGCACAAGCAAACAACCCTTCAAATTTTCTTTAAAAGATCTAAAAAGCCAGCTGACAATCTTATTTTTGTATTTTTTAATGATTTAAATAGTACATTAAGGCCCATTTACACCTAGCCATAAAGTTTTAAACAACTTGACCTGCTAAGGGACTGCGGATGAAAATTAGACAATACATTAAATAGAAACATTTATGCTAAAAATTGCACATGGTTCCTTTCCAAATAAAAATAAATAAAAATCAGCACAGAGGAACATACCTGAAAAACAAGCTTAGAATGAATATGATGTTATTCTCTATTGGCATGGACCTTAATATAGCTAGCATTATAATTATCGTTATTGGTGTGAACAGCCCTTTACTGTTAGAGCAAGAAAAAATGTGCAAATGAAGTTATAATTCTGTAAGCATCTATCCCTTGTTGAAGTGAACCAGCCTTTTCTGCTCTGAATTAACAACTTTATGTCAATATCTTATCTCTTCTAAAGCATGTAATGTGAGACATACCGCATCTTGAAAAGCTACAGATGAAGAAACAGTTTTGGGAATCAGAGCAATCTGATTTTATCACGCAGCATAAATCAAATTATACATATTGCACCTAAATTGTGAAACCACTACAAGCTAGCATGATAAAAACAACGTGAATTATTGGTTAAAAAAAAAAAGCATACACAATAAATGTGAAGACTTTAATAAACCGAGCAGAGAAAGAGAGAGAGAGAGAGAGAGAGTCAAACATCTGTTCTTGGGTTTGGTTAAATGAGAGTAAATAATCATAATTCTCATGTTCCCGGGACAAACATATCGTCTGAAATGCTGTAGTTAATTGTGAAGGAGTATCTCTGTGATGCATGATCCTTGAGGAAGAACATGCATCCATGTTTCACAGGTGAGGCTTTCACCTGTACAGAGATGACCGCAACAGACCAGGTTACCTATTTTGTTTAGAAGTTTTTGTCCTGGATTTGTTGGGAACAATATCCACCATGAATCTGTTAAATCTAGAAAGAGAGGAGTCCCAGACTCTGATCCCAAATCCATCTTGTTTGACTCCCTATTGAGTTTTGTGTCAGCTGACGACATAAAAACACACAGCACACACAGATACAGGTAAAGCGGTCCGTTCTGAGAAGCTCTGGCGCTTCTGGTACCTGTATTGGCAGGGGTGGATGTTGCAGCGGCGGATCTGAGGCGCGGGTCTGTTCTCCACCTGACAGTAGCTGTCGTTGACTTGAGTCATGGTCTTGTTAACGATTCTCATGCACGAGACCACAGTCCTTCTCTCCCCTAAAACACAGCAAAACATTTTTATTGGCATACTATACTTTCATAAAATGTCACTCAAGGTTACAGTACGTGTCTTGCATATACTTACATGAATCAATTTGAATGCTTCTTTTTATGTGTGTTTTGTAAACATACAGACAGTATATGAGAGGAAATGTGTCATGCCGTAATCACAGTAAAATATCACTGTAACAACTTCTTGCTTTTAATATTTTTTTTAAATAAAAACCTTTTTTAATAAGAACTCTCAGTGTAAACTATCTCATGAATCTACAGAAGATATCTGTCACAACTTAACACCAATGATTAATAAATAATAAGAAATAATATTTAATAATATGAACTATGTATTTTTTTAAACTAGCATTAATAATTTTAAAAAAGTTTAAACATTTAATAAATAATGTTTAACATTTAAAAATACTAATAAAATAAATAACACTTAATTACGCTCACTGTAAACTAGCTTTAAAAATAATTTCATAATAAATACTTTAAAATATTTAATAAATACTGCTTAACAAATAATAGCAGTTAAAATGATAATAAAATAATATGTAATAATAACAATTTATTATTAATATATATAATAATAATCATCATCATCATCATCTGTAAACTGCAAATTTTATCCAAAGTGACTTATATTGAAATTGAGCTCATACATTCCCTAAAAACTGAACCCATACTACTGTTTGAGCTACAGAAATATTATCTATTTATTATTTACTATGTTGGGGAAAGTAACTTTTAAAAGTAATGCTTTACAATATTGCGTTACACCATAAAAAAGTAACTAGTTACTTATTTGAAGAAATAACTAAAATAATTAATATTATATATAATAATAATAATAATAATAATAATTAAAATTAATGTGTAAATACATGGTTATATAATAATAATAATCATCATCTTTATGGCTGCTTTGAGCCGTCTGAGTTTACTAACAATCCACTGAGGATGTTAAAGTTTGGATTGAGTCGAGGGCTTTGGCAAGCGCTGCAGTGACTCTCTGCTGGGGGTGTTTAACCACAACAGGACAATCTGTGTTTTCTCTGGCACGTGTGAGCGTTTGCACATGATCTGATGCTGTCCGCTCCACTTTCACCTCCCAACCAGCCATGTCCCATTTCAGGTAATTGCAGAACAAAACATTTCTAATTAGGGATAACAATACGCGGTTATTTCTAGTGGTCATCTATAGAGTCGGGGGTTCTTTAGTGGGCATGACCAAATTAGCAGCGGGGAGAAGCAGTGACCCACATAACAGGTGCTGAATTTGCCCGGGACCTTTAATTTCTTCAGTTCTTAATGTTGTTGTAGCTTCAGAAGGTGGCGGTACGCCAAACTGTAGGATTAGCTATGTCATTAATTTTGTGCTGTTCTACGTTTGCCAAGAAAAACCGCAAGCAGTCAGAGACAGAGATTAATTCCTGCGAGCAGCGAGCGGTGAAAGGCAGCCTCAGAGACACAGAGCCAGAAGCTCTGCTCCAAAACATAGTGCGCTGCCTACTTAGTCAGCATTTTAGGCATCATATTTGTGTCCCAGATGCAAAGCTTGTTCCAAAATTATGCCGCAAAATTTTTTGCTGTAAAGCAGCATCACATGTCGTGTACAGTATAATTTATGGACAAAGCAATGCAATAAGCTAAATTCAACAAAATAAATCACTGTGGTACATCTTGGGTTCAGTACGATTTTTTTTAACAAACGAATACCTTTGAAATTGATCAAAAGTGACAGTGAAGATAATGTTACAAAAGATTCTATTTCAAAAAATGCTGTTCTTTTGAACTTGCTATTCATCAAAGAATCCTGAAAAAACTGTCACAGAAAGCACAAAAACATGAAGCAGCACAACTGTTTTCAACATTGATAATAATCAGAAATTATTCTTGAGCAGCAAATCAGCATATTAGACTGATTTCTGAAGGATCATGTGACACTGAAGACTGGAGTAATGATGCTGAAAATTCAGCTTTGATCACAGGAATAAATTACATTTTAAAATATATTGAAATAGAAAACTGTTGTAATAATATTTCACAATATTTATATTTTTACTGTATTTTTTTTTATTAAAATAAATAATAAATGCAGCCTTGGTGAGCATAAGAGACTTGTGAAGAAAAAAAAAATCATACCAACCCAAACTTTTGAATGGTGATGTATATTTCATTAAATCCTGAAAAATATTGATAAAATGGTTAAATGTAATAAAAAGGAACTAATTTTACATAATATATGTGTGCTATGCATTTATTGCACCATTGACTTATCAACACGCAAACATAAAACTAGAGTGTATGTTCTGAGGAGTGTTTTGACAAAACATTTCTGTATGTAAATTTAAGCAACTTACTTATCAGCTGTTCTTTTTCGGAAGTTGCATTTAAAATCCACTTTCCCTCCAAAAATCAGAAGGGGCTCATTAGTTTGAATGAGTGTGACACATCTGATCTCACTACTATATACAGCCCCTTAACCATGGTTTCCAGGGCAACACACTCTTACCCCAGAACAATAGAGTACAGTAGAGTATCCTTACTGTCTCCTATCTGAAAGAAATGCTCACTGAACACTCTCAGATGAAATCTTTCACACGCATTGCTGAATTTAGAGTTTAGATTTTCCGCCTAAATGTGGGTAGAAATACAGTTGAAATAGTGTTTTCTCGTTTTAAAAAATCACTGGCTATTCATTTACTTATTGCCTAGAAATATACGTATACACTGTTTGGTCACCAATTACTGTAGCAAGTGCTGGGGAGCGACTCACAAAATCCCTTTGCAAATGAGCAATCTCTCGGGGATCCTTCAAGACTTTGCTAATCAGGACCTCGACAGCAAAGATAGTTATAAGTATGAAAAGAGTTTAACCTCTTACTAGTCATTGAACTTGTTATGTTTATGTAAATCTACTTCCACATTCATTTATTCAGATCTGCAGTGTGACAGTCCTTTACATAAACTACTGTTCAAATACTGGCGGTCTGGTATAAGATTGTTTAATGTTTTTGAACAGGTTTTAGTTTCTAAAGCTCACCAAGGCTGTATTTATTTTATCAAAAATACAGTAAAACAGTAATATTGAGAAATATTATTAAAGTTAAAATAGTTTTAATTTATTCCTGTGATGCAAAGCTGAATTTTCAGCATCATTACACAAGTCTTCAGTGTCACATGATCTTCAGAAATCAGTCTAATATGCTGATTTGCTGCTCAAGAAACATTTCTTATTATTATCAATTCTGAAAACAGTTGTACTGCTTCATACTTTTATGGAAACCATGATACATTTTTTTCAGGATTTTTTGATGAATAGAAAGTTTGAAAGAACAGCATTTATTTGGAATAAAAAACATTTTGTAACCTTTTGATCAGTTTAATGCATCCTTGCTTAAATGAAACTTTTAATTTCTTTAAAAAATAAAATCTTACTGACCCAATGGAAAGAGATATTTGAATGCAGGAGTCTCAATGTATTAGTGTTTTAAATAGTTTTAAATAACATTTTATGGATTATATTACAATTGTTGTGCATGCATATTAATTCATATTTGTACATTTTTATATTTTAAAATATTTGTATATTCAACAATTCATTTCTTACATCACAGAATTGTTTAATTGTTCTAGTAAAGGCAAAATAGGTGAATAAAAATAACAACAATCTGACAAAATTGTGACCTGTTATAATAATAAAAAAACATAAACTTTAATTTTAAATCTTGATGCTCAAATGGTTAGGTTAAGATTGTGTCCATGTCCATTTGTAAACTACCCAAATGCACACAACACAACTGAACAAATGAATGCACTTATTAATCCCTTCTCAAATAATATTCTCTCAGTCTATGTTTCTATAGGCGAGCGCTCGAGGTGAGTATTAGAGACAGATCCTGCTTCATCAACCCCAGCTGTATTAACGTATGACACACATGTGCTGGCGTCATTAAACACATCATTATATTCTTCAGTTCATAACTGGCTCGAAGGAACGACGCTGACCACAAAACAACCGCTATTTCATAGATGTGTCTAGAAGTTTCCAAAAACAGACACTGCAAATCTCTCGTCAGCTTTTTCAGGCCAGAACATGATTTGCAGCTCATGTCGAAAACATAAAGCTGTTCTATTCCACACAGAGAACGAAATGCCCTTTTAAAAACCCAATGCATCACATTATTTAAGCAAAAGCACTTAACAATTGCTTTAAAAAACAGATTTAACTCGTGTTATTGTGCGCAAATACACACGCTGACGCAACACTTCTAGCAGACAATGACACACCATCAGGAAGCAATAACCACATAAAAGAAACAAGCAGATCAGCGTTAAAACGGGAGCTATTTAAGGGAAGACTGCATGCCGGTCTGTTGCAGATAAATGTTCATCTGCTATCAGATTCGTGAATATAACCAGCAAAACTGTCATGCTCAGACGGGCTTAGAAAATGGGACAGGCCTCAATGTCGCTTTTTGGGTTATTTCATGCGTATCTCGGTCTCAAGTGAATAACGCCTCCACTACATGTGACGACTTTTGACAGCATTTAATTTTGAAAGTTTCATTCCTTTGCGAGTCAGTTAATGCTGATATCATTTGTCAGAGATTCTCTTTTCGTAGCAGTAATTATTATTTTTGGGGCTTTAACTTGCTAGATATAATCACACAGCTGTGCTGACCATAACAGTCACACACCGTCACAGAAACACAGCTGGACAGCTGACGCACGTTAACAGCTTCAACTGTTAAGACTGAAAGGGAATTTAATGAAACCTTTAGGAGAACTGGAAACTTTCCTGATCAGCTTCTGATATACTCTTAAAAATAAAGTTTCCGAAAGGGAGTTTTTGCAGCGATGCAATGGAAGAACGGTTTTTGGTTCCAAAAAGAACCTTTCAGTGATCAGTTCTAAAAAAGAACCATTTTTTCTTAGTGTGAAGAACATTTTAATAATCTAAATCACCTTTTTTCCACTACAGAGTGCATTAGTGCCCATCCACTTTTGCAGCAGCACTGGTTCCAGAAGTATTTTTCCCATTCATTTTGCCCATAAAGATTTTTTTTAAATCGCTATAAGCCATTAACCAAACCAACCAGCTACAAGGAGAATCACATACCAAATGTTGATTAAAAGCGAACAATTAAAAAATTGGAGAAAATGTAGAAGACCTTTGGTTTGGGAAAGAACTACAATCTCATGAAGCATTGCAAATTACATCAATTAAAAAAACTATGGCAAAATGTAAAACTTTTCATTTAAAGTTGTTTCTAGTATCTATAGAAACAATATATTTTAATTTTATTGTTAAATATGCATAAATACACAAGCATATTCAAGTATTTTTGTCATTCGTATGCTTCATGGGAGTGGGTGGAGCTAAAGAGCTCATTTGGTGCTTCTGTTGTCTGATTGGTGGAATTTTCTGTACAGCATCATGGTTAATGTAGTTTATTTATTTTTTTACTAACAATTCCGCTATTGAACAAGATCATTTTTAAAAAATCAGCTGAATTAACACAAAGCGATAGCTGCAACAAAGGGATATACAAATGATTATCAACCTCGGAGCTCGCAACAGTTCTGTTGTCAAGTTATTGTTAAAGATCACTTTCCCTATGGAGAAAATGAATGGAGTTTTTACTTCCGTTTTGCACTCTATCCACCTTATTCTTCCTGTAAAAATGGTCGTGGCCATTTGTTAATTTTATGGGTGTGGCTTCCGGTCTCATTCACTTCCAGCTATTTTTAGCTGTACAAAACTACTCGTTTTGCAGAATGGAAAGATTCTTCAGGGAACCATTGATGCCTTATGTTTTAAGAATGTACATGTGACTGTAATGGCAGTAATGGCAGATAGTATTAAGAAAATAAACCCCAGAGGCATTGTGGATGATGACCGGCACTGACCTCCTCCACAGTGCACACTGCAGTCCTCCCAGCTGCTGTGAGTCCACAGGTACATGTGCTCTGGTTCCTTCACCGGACCGCTGACGTTCTCCTGCGACTGGTTCAGGGCAACCGTGTACTCATAATGGATCCCGTATGTCTGATCGTGGAACAGCAGAACCTGAGAGAAAAATTGGATAAACGTGATATGAAGAGCATTCAGGAACACTAGCCTCTGTTTATGAGCTTACGTGTTCTGTATTTTGCCCAAGATAATTCTTTAATTCACCATGGAGGCGTTAAATTGATCCAAAGTGGCAGTGAAGACATTTATAATGTTACAAAATTTTGTTCTTTTCAACTTTCTATTAATAAAAAAAAATCCTGTATCAAAAAATGTATCAGAGTTTTCACAAAAATATGAATCGGCACAAGTGTTTTCAACATTGATAATAATCAGAAATGTTCCTTGAGCAGCAAATCAGCATCTTAGAATGATTTCTGAAGCATCATGTGACACTGAAGACTAGTGTAATGATGCAGAAATTCAGCTTTGCATCATAGGAATAAATTACATTTTAATATAATCATAATCATATAGAAAACAGTTATTTTAATTTGTAATACTATTTTAAAATTTCACTGTATTTCTGATTAAATAAGCAGCATTAGTGAGCAGAAGAGACTGTCATTAAAAGACATTAAAAAGTCATTAAAAAGTCCACCATTTTTAGTGAACCAATAGTTCACCATTTTTGGGTGAACTATTCCTTTAAGACATTAAAAAGTCTTCATGTCCCTAAAATTTTGATTTATTTATTATTTATACCAGCTTGAAAGTCAGCCCCCAAAAAGTTGCTTCAGAATGCAAGTTATTACATTTCCAAAGTTACAAAAACGATTTTTTTCCCCCTTAAAATAATGTGGTCTAATGAATAATTCACAAAAAGTCCAGGATTTTGTATTAAAAAGTTCATTTTAGATTTAATTTTGATTTTATTTCAAAAATTTTCCTGTGCTCAAAGCTAAATGGACATATTATGAGGCTGGCGATGAATAACTTCACTGGCCTGAGCAAAGCTCAGAGCTGAACCCCACTACACACCTTGAGGAACACCGACTGCTGTTAATTACAAGCATTAGGAGGTGTCTGCATATGTTTGGCCATACAGTGCATCTCCAGAGGCCTGTGAACAGGCACAAGGTCTGATTTCAAGAGGCTACCAAAACGCCATGAGGAAAAAAGGATCACTTCCATTCATTCCCATAATCATTTCCAGGGACAGGACGAGACTCCAGCCTCCAGCACACCCTTTATCACAAGATCCATCTCGTGAGAGCCATTCCTCACAGACGGTGGAGGTTAACAGCCCCGCAGAACTCTCAAAGAGCCTCAAGAGCCGTCTCACTGTCAGTCAGTGGCTAATGACATGAATGAAACTATACACAAGAGAACACAACCACACATTCAAAATACTCAACAAGCCCACCAACAGCAGATGAACAAAATATACAGTCAGTGAATCTCATGAAAACATGTCCGACTTACTTTTCCCTCTAAAATCACTAGTAAAATGATCATAAATGAAGACTATTTTAGGGCCATTAACTTTTTTGCATCGAGACATTATTTAATTATAATTAAACACATTTTCTACCAAGTTCTAATAGCAATGTGTGCTGACATTTTGAGTTTTTTTAATGATGGTTCCTATTAGAATGTCTTCAAATAAAACTGTACTAGTATAATCTTTTGTCATTTAAATCAGCATATAACAAATTCACTGTAAAAAATACTCCCATGCTGTACAGAGCATTATTTAAATAAATAATTTAAAATTGTATTTCACATTTAAGCAATAAGACTGAGATTTTATACATTACTTGCATTGTTATGAAAATAATGTTTAAAAAACACTCAATGGCCCTAAGAATGGTCAAAAAGGGCTTTTTTCTTTATGCAAGTCCATAATCCATAATTACGCTTCCTCCAATGAAAAAGTTAATCTCCTGTTTTCTCTCACATCAAAATCCACCCACATATTGTTTTAGAACTGTTTCGGACCATTTTCGTAATAGGTGCTTGATCTGTGCATAGTTCTCTCCTGATTCAGATGAGACAACTTTTTTCACTGGAGAAGGCAATATTATAAATAAAAGACTCACATTTTAGTCAGAAGCAACGGGTTAAAGTTATTACAAACATGCAGCTTTTCGCTTCACAAAGATGTTAATTGATGGACTGGAGTGGATTGTGATGTTTTTATCAGCTGTTTGGACTCTCATTCTGACGGCACCCATTCACTGCAGAGGCTCCATTGGTGAGCAAGTGATGTAATGTTACATTTCTCCAAATCTGTTCTGATAAACAAACAAACAAACCCTTCTACATCATGGATGTCCTGGGGGTGAGTACATTTTCAGCAGATTTTCCTTTTTAGGTGAACTATTCCTTTAATTACGTATGCACCACATGCCACTGAAACATCACAAGTGAATATTCACACTCATGGCAAGATTGGCACATGCCCAAATGCCCATATGGTTTATCTGGCTATTTTTCTCACCTAATTTGGAGTATTTTGCATCTATTTAGTTATTCAAGGTCAGAAAAACACTCAATTTCTGGCCTAAAGATGACCAGAGACACATTAGAAATTTATCTTAAATATTCTAAATGGATCTGAGAACACTCTGACTGTTTGAAGTGGAGCATCTGTGTGCCAGAGGACATCTTGAGAGGAAAGCTTCATCTAAAGCCTGCTTCACTGCTTAATTACATTAATTAGAGATCTCTCTCAAGACACCTTCTGGCTCTCTGGACTAAACAAACCTTTTTGCTTAGAACTCTCGGTGACTGCGGGGGAGTGGAGATTACAGGTCTATTCTCTTCATCATAAAGAGTTTTGAGGAGATATTAACTGAAACAACGTGCCTGGATTAGAGGATTAGAGAAATGGCTTTCATTCCATAGTGAGCAGTAAATTGCGTTTCTGCATTATTTTCTAAATTGTTAATCTTATCATGCATTAGATGGATGTCTTTGGTTATTGCTTATCTTAATTAACTGCTCTTTTTTTTTACTACACACCCCTATAGTGAAAAATAAATACACTAAAATTGATTTGAAATACGTTTATTTCATGCTAAGTTTATTACAAATATTACATATTAATACCCTGCGATTGTACTTTTTTTGGTATACTAAACTGGTATACTTAAAGTCTGCTAAATTGGAACAACTAATTTTGTACTTTAATTGTGAAGAAGTAATGCTGAAGTGCAGCTAAAGATACACTGAAGTATATTTGATTGTGCTAAAGTGGAACTACTGCAAGTATACTTCAGGTACACTTTAAATATCTTGCATTTAAAAAACGATATTATTTAAAGATCATGCAATCCTCATCGGTTGTGACATTAAAACACATTTTAGGCTTAATATAAAAAAATGTGCAAGCAGTACTCCAAATAAAGTTTAATTAAAATTTTCATATCAGTAAGTCTCGAGTGATATGTCAGTAAATATGTTAACAAATTTGAACTATACTTAGTATAAAATAAATGTGACATACATTTATATTTTTTTACCTGGGACATTTCTCCATTCCAGTGTTTTTGTTAACTAAAACTGAAACATTTTCTTTAATTAAAATAAAGCTGAAAAATTAAATAAAATATAAAAATTAGACAGAAAAAAAGAAAAAAAAAATGAAAATTAGAAATGAAAAGTTAAGTACTACAATTACTAAAAGTTAAATAAATAGAAATAAATTAAAGCAAAATTTAAAAAAACTACACAGGAAAAAAATGTAAAAACGTACTAACAAAAAAAATTTTCACTCAGAAATTGCTAGTACATTTCACAAACAATTACAAAGAAATGGCAAGGAACACATTGGATTAAACGTGACATTTTCCAGAAAAAAACAAAAAAGTATTTTTGTAAAATGCTCTCCAATAATCTTTGTAAAATCACTTTTACACTGTAATAAACACAAAATTACTAAAAACGAACTAAAATTAAAATGAAAGCTGAAAATATAAAAAAGCTAATTCAAAATATATTCAAAAATACTATAATAGTATAAATAGTCAAATTTAAGGCTCAAAACATCAACAGACGACACAGTCAAATGGTCTATCATATCGACATCTTCAGGTTAGAAGCACACCGCAGGAAATGTATACTAAACTGTTTGCACAACTATCTTGACTTGTCTATGTATGGAAGGGGCAACCTGTGACTCAGAGCAAAGAAATAATGAGGACCCTGGAGAAAGAGCAGAAGAGCAAGAGGAAGAAGTGGAGTGGATGGAGGAGGAGGAGAGGAAACGGGAGGAAAATGTAGGAAGTAGGAAGAGATATAAAAGGGGATGTAGGAGGAGAGAGCAAGAGAGGTGGCCATCGAAACAAGTTAAAGTTAAGAGAGTACAGCATGGCACCAACAGCATGGAGTTTATTCCCAAGAATGCATGAACTGATAAAAATGCATACCCTGAATGCAATGCAAGTTGAGGGAAAAATAGCATCTGCTAAATGCACAAATGTGAATGTAAATGTGTACAAAATGGTTATTGTTCAGATGAGATTATATTAATTCATTTTGGCGAAAATGCCAATAGCCAATTGTAAACTGCAAAAAAATGATCTTCATCCTCGGTATTTTTGTCTTGTTTTCCAGTACAAATATCTAACCATTCTTAAATCAAGATACATTTACATGAGCAGCAAAAAGACTTTTCTGAAAAAATTAAATAAAGAAAAGTAAAATAATAAAATAAATCAAATAAAAATACATTCAAAGGGAAAACAAGATCTTTCTGACCCCAGAACTGTAAAACTAAAACTTAAATAAAAAAGAACATTAGAAATGTTTCCTCAAATTAAATAACTACTAAAATTACTAAAAGTGAAATAAATACAAATTAAAGTGAAACAGACAAAAAAATTACACTGAAAAAAAAAGTAAGATTTACTTTAAAGCAAATTTCACTCAGAAATTGTTAGTAAATTTCACAAATAATTACAAAGAAATGGCAAGGAACACACTAAATTAGACATGAAAGGATTCATGTAATAAAAATTAAACATCCACTCACTTAATTTTAATACATTTTTCAGAAAACAAGACTTAATATCTTGTCATTAATGTGTCATTTTGCTTCTCAAGTAAAGTAACAAGTGTCTTGATTTAAGAAAGTTTAGATATTTGTAAAACTACAAAAATACTGAGATAGAAAATAATTTTTTGCAGTGTAAATAAAGTGTTAGCTCATAAGAAAGCAAAAGTAATTGTGCAGTGAACAGTTTTAGTAAATTAAAAGCCAAACAATTGTATTGTATTGATTGTTTTGAAAGCATGGATCTTGGCTTGGAGAAATCAGTAGAAACTGTAGGCGTACTTCAACTTTTGTTGACGTGTGTTTCGAGACGTGCTGCATCAAGCTATTTTTGCGTTGTGAACGGGCCCTAACGCCACATGACATCATGATGAAATCATTGCAGTCGATGTCTGTGTCGACACACGGGTGGAAAAGCAGCACTAGACATGCATGAAGGTGAAGACATCAGGTTCAGCAGCGGCTCCGTCCCAAAACATCTGCGTTACTGCTTTCAAAACATTTTGCATGATCTGTTTTCCATTCAGTTTATGTGTTTGCTTTGGATTAGCAGACTGCCATGTTTTCCGAATATAAAATAGCATGTTTTGTTAATCCTGAAGTTGTTCATGATGAAGACAAAATATGCCATAATTATACTCTAAATCAACTAGTAACCAGGAGAACATGACAGTTACAGTCAGCATGAAATCAAAATCACCATTTACTTTCTTAAAGTGACAATTTGCCCAAAAATGAAATTATTTACTCACTCTCATGTTGTTCCAAACCCATATGCTGTTTTTTTTTTCCAAAGAAGCTTCATGCAGCTTTCCACAAAGAGCTTATAATGACCCAAAAAATTCTCAAAAATAATTCCCCAAAGGTAGTTGACTTGCATGCTATATTCCAAGTCTTCTGAAATCATCACATGATATTATATGAGAAACTGTTCAAAGTTGAATCAATTATTCACAGAAAATCTTCCACACTGCTAGATGTAAAGTTTTCGGAAACTTAACTGCAAGTTAACTGTATTTAAATTATGCAATTAAATAAAAATACATTAAAATTCATATTTATATTAAATGCAATGAACTTTAAAGTGCTTTTTGACCCACTTAATTAGGACTTCAGTACATCTTTATACTATATGTAATTTCATAATATGTAATACAATATGTCTGTCTGAAGTTGTTAATATGCTTTAAGACAAACCATGTGCAAATTCATCAGTCAAAACCATTGCTTAGCATTTTCTCTCAAAACTACAACATCTGGGCTGTATAATTATAAGGGTGTAGAATTATATTCAAGCCACTGGCTTTGTAAAAATCAACGCGTTTCAGAAAGGCGGGGCATAGAGGAGAAACAATAATGTACAGTATGTGGAAAATAATGTGTTTTTTTAACCTTAAACCGCATGAACACATTTCATTACACCAAATACACCAAATAATGTTCTTTTTAGCATCATCATATGACCCCTTAAAATAGGTCATTTTGATTATCAAAGATTAGTTTTAAGAGATCAAATTAGTGATTTTAAGAATTAAACTTTAAGAATTATACTGTAGTTATGAAGGTGTACTCTCTTTAAGTACACTTAAATGGCCTTTTATTTAATTATATTATCTGAAAGTACAGTTTAAAAAAAATTAAAATTAATATTTCAGATTTGAAGTACAACACAAGCACAATGAAATGTGCATTCAATACAATTAAAAAAAGAATGAAAAAATAAGAAGATATTCTGAAGAACGTTGGAAACCACGGTAGAATAGGGGATGGTAAGTCAATGGCTACCGTCCACTATTTGTGACATGATCACCAGCCATGATCATTCACAGCGCGAAAAAGCGAAGATTTTTATTTCATCCTGTGTGTCGATTTTTTTCCCCATTGCTCCGCGATGGAACGGGCCGTCCAATCAGATTTGAGCTTAGATCACATGCGTGGAGCAGCTGCTGTTGCACAAAAAGGCAAAGAGTGGTGGCGCTGTTTCGAAAACCAGTGTAAACAAACACGAAGAAGAGTATTCCGAGTGATTCCAAGAGAGAAGAGAGTGGATGCCAAGTTCTTGTTATCTTTGGTATCTGAGAACAGATTTATTCTCACATGTTCTTAATATAATTTCTATTAATTCTCCACTGAATTATGTGATCTGGAGTGTCCGTTTTCTTCCACGTGTGCAAGTGTTATGAGTCAGAGGCTCAGAGCGCGTTAACTCTCTAGATCAGGGGTGCCCAAACTCGGTCCTGGTGGGCCGGTGTCCTGCAGAGATTAGCTCCAACCCCAATTAGACACACCTGAACCAGCTAATCAAGCTCTTACTAGTCATACTAGAAACTTCCAGGCAGGTGTGTTGAGGCAAGTTGGAGCTAAACTCTGCAGGACACCGGCCCTCCAGGACCGAGTTTGAGCACCCCTGCTCTAGATCTTCCGTATTAAAAAAAATCGAGTGAAATATATTTATACACATGAAATATGAAAGCAAATAGACATATGATTATGACGATATATTTTCTGTATGTGTTTTGTATGCAGCTCATGGTATTTTTATAACAATAAAGGATGTTTTATGACAATAAGCAGTGTGGCGTGTGGCAAAGTCTGCCTATTATAGAATCAAAATCAACTATACATCATAATCGGAAGTTATTACAAGCACTCGATGATGGTTTAAAGTGAGTTTTAAGCAAAAACATTAATAATTAACGTACATAAATTTTCAAATGTGGCTTGATGCTACTTCTGTTTGTATTTTAAAGGTGTCATCGGATGCCCATTTTCCACAAGTTGATATGATTCATTAGGGTCTTAATGAAAAGTCTATAACATACTTTGGTTAAATTTCCCAATGGTAGTGTAAAACAACACCCTTTTTACCCTGTCAAAACAGTTTTTTTTCAGAGCAAGCCGTTTTCTTGCATGCCGCTTTAAATGCAAATGAGCTCTGCTGCCCCCGCCCCTCTCTTCCGAGCCGCTTTCGGAGAGACGGTAAACTTTAGCAGCATTCATCGTGAAACTTGCTAACTAGCACTTCATTAGGAAAGGCAATTTGCAAAGATTCATAAAAAAAAAAACTTATACTTACTTCTTCTGTAGGTGAAGCTGGATCACGAATGATTCGCGCGAACATAAACGCATTTACCTTTATTTATATAGTGCTTTTAACAATACAGATTGTGTCAAAGCAGCTTTACAGTATCAAATAGGAAAATAGTGTGTCCATAATGCAAAAGTACAATAGTAAACACAAAATTTTCAGTTAAAGGCAGTTCATCACTGAATTCAGTGATGTCATCGTCCAGCTCAGTTCAGTTTAAATAGTACCGTATTGGCCCGAATATAAGACGACCCTGATTATAAGACGACCCCCCTTTTTCCAGATGTACGTTTTGGAAAAAGGCTTTTTAAAAACCAAATCTTGTTTTTTCTCAGTAAAACACATTTTGGCTTCAATTATTTTCATATTGTATATTTAACAAACGTAATCCACTGCGTCTTCAGCGGCTCAGATGTCGGGAGTAAATGACGACTGCTATGTTCATTATTACATCCAACAACAGAACACCTCAATTGCTTAGGAGTCATTCTTGTCTACATCTGCTCCGGAAAAAGTTGGAGCCGGCCGTCGCCATCTTGGCGTCACTCCCGGATAATTGAAAATGGGCAAAGAGGCCCCAGCCTCTAGCGGCCAGTTGATGAATTGCAGTTTTAGTCACTTCCATGTTGGTTTCACAAGAGAGACCGGAAGGTTGCCGCTTGGACGTCACACAGACAAGAAGCTCAGATCGGCTTGATTTGAGAAAGGCCTAATGATTTTAGTAGATTAAAAAAAAAAACACTGGGTGGATTTTATCATTATAGGGTGGTTGTGTACACACACTGCCAACACACATTTATGTTCAAACAACATGTAAAAGTGCTTTTCGCATCCGATGCCCCCTTTAAGATGTTTTCTTGTAAGCATTATAGATAGTTTGTGTTTCTGGCATAGAACCGAACTTTATTTATCTTATTTTAATGCTGTATATTAAGCAGCGGACGATGTTAAATCCATATACGAGACACATATCTGAGGAAAAATGCACTGTTGGTCGGCGCCACCTTGCGTGCAGGCGTGAATTAGCAGAAGGTGATCAATCGTTTTGCTCTCGGTGTGAAAGCAACGTTCATCTGCGATTCGCCTGGCTTTTTCGCATCTCGCTCAGTGTGAAACGGCTTTACACAGTCACTACTGATAAGCTACTACTAAATATTGTATATTGTAGAAACTTTAATTTTCTGTGAAGCTGCTTTGCAACGATTTGTATCATGAAAAGTGCTATACAAATAAACATGAACAGAATTTTCATTGAGTGTTCATGATTCAATCATTTCCCTGATAAAACCATGTCCTGTCCTACAGTATTTCCCATTGATTATCTGATTACGGAAATAAAATGTGCAGCGGATGGCTTTTTACACTGAATTAAGCGTAAAAGCACAGTTCAATAATAAATGTGTGAAAGACAGTAAAGATCTAAGAAAGAAAAAGGTGCATGTTAGTACATAAAGAATTTACCATGAGGTGGAGTGGAGTCTTAGTGGGTCCCTTGGCAGACATTTTTTCCCACAGTCCTCTCCTCACATAGCGGACCGTGGTGCCAGCAAGCTCAAACTCCCCTGGCAGCTCGATTTTCCAGTCATTGTTTATGGATCGCTTGCTGGAGTCCTTCAGAGCTGCAACAGTCAAACAAGAACACATTTATCTAATTCATATTATACAAGCATCATTACAATATATATACACTATATATTTATACTATAATAACCCTGGTACAGAGTCACATACATTACATTTAAATTTTATTTTAATATAGGATGCACAATAAAATATTCAGCTGAACTTAAGCTTCTTAACTTTAAATTTGGTTGAAATTAATTTAATATTCATTTTTTGTTTAAAATATATTTTCAGTTTTTCATAAAAATAGTCAACAGATCGAAACCTCCTTTATACTGAGGGAAAAAAATTGCAAGTAAATTTCGCAAATAATCAAGTAATGCATTTAATTTTCTTGTAAAACATACTTTTCTTTGTTTTATTTATTTATTTATATATTTATTTATTTGTTTGTTGTAAAAAGATTTTTAGCATCAATTTGATTATACACCTTATGACTGCTAATGGTGGGATTTTTTTTTTATTAATATATCTCTGCCTTCACACAGTCCAGAATTCAGTGCAATCTTTTCCTTTTAAAATGAAACTTCAACACATTCTTACCATTAAGTATATGAACTTCTTGTGTTGAATGAGCTATTGCATATCGTTCATCCATCATTAGCTCACAGTCATCCTATTTTTATACACACATATATACGACTCCATGATGGTTTTCTGAGCAGTGGAGGCTGAAGATGTGATTGCCCACAGTCTGCTGCAATGAAAACATGAAGCGGTTTGTTTTGGAGAGCATCTGCGCTGAGCTCAATGGGAGGGGTGCACTTTCATGTCAATTAAAGCGTTTTGGCTGGAATTAAAAAATATTCTTCTGTTCTCTTACAAAAGATGGCAAAGCAGGCCCAAGCTAAACATATGTTTACATCGCCCTGCATATGAAGCACAGATTGCATCCTGCCAGTTCAGTGTTAAATGAAAGGCATTATAGAATAAAATTCATTGATTAGAAAGCCTGTAAACTTCACAATCTTATATAGCTCATTCTATAATATCTGACACTTTAATAACTTCAACCCAGGCAGTCATGTGATACTGACCTTTGGGAGAAGGGATGTTTATTTAAGAATATGTAGAGTGAAGTGTTATTATGATCTGTCAGCATTATGTCTGTGAAGTTGGACAGCAAAACTCCCCTGGCAGCTCGATTTTCCAGTCATTGTTTATGGATCGCTTGCTGGAGTCCTTCAGAGCTGCACCAGTCAAACAAGAACACATTTATCTAATTCATATTATACAAGCATCATTACAGCAAAACTTTATGATTTAGTTATCAAATATAACAAAATTATTTGAGATTATTCCAATGCAAACTTCCTTGATTTTGATCTAGTAGACCTGATTCAGTAGCTAACTTAAAAAAGGAGATTTTCGTAAAATGCATGCCAATCATATTGTGTATAGTGCCATATTCATGCATACTTTATGAAGCTTATATTGCAAATTCAATTGAAAAACATTCATTAGTATCATTGAGACCCTATTATATTTCTTATTTATTTCTTGGTTTTTATTTTTATATTTTCTGCTTACATTTTAATTTTTAGTAATGTTGTTGTGTGTTTTTTTCATTTTTATTAGTCTGTTTTTTATAGTGTTAATCAGTTCATTTAATTATTTTTATTTCAGTTTCTTTTATTTTAGTACATCAAGATAAACTAAAGGAAAATGAGAAAGAAGGCGCCTTTTCAAAAACCTCTGACTCATTAAAATAAATTAAATTACAATGAATATGCTCATCAATTGTGGGGCAGCCGGACAAATTAAGTCTTAAATAAGTTTCTTATTATTTATAATATTCTCTCAAGTGAGATTCGCTAAATACAAGAGAGAATCTCATGGCAGTCAAGACCATGTCTGGCATATTTCACCCCAAAATAAAAAGAATGAAATGAGAAATTACAAATTGTGTGTTAAAAAATGAATCCTTATAATTTTTAGTTGTTACATCAATTTCATGACATTTAAGCACATTTCCTACACAATGTTTATTAAGTTTAAAAAAATAAATAAAAACATTTTTTTTAATGTACATTATTATTATTATACATAAATTTACATTAATTTACTTCGCAAATTCTCATTATTATTATAATGGCAAAAATTTAATAATAATAATAATATATAGACATTATTATTATTATTCAATATATTATTATAAAGTATTTAGAATTTATGCATTTTAATTTATGCTATAAAAAGTATTTTATTAAAACAATTTATTTTTACAACAATGAGAATTGCAAAAAAAAACATATATGGACACATGAATTAAAATTCGGGGATAAATGTGCTTAAATGTCATTAAAGTAAAATAAAATTTTGTTTAAAGAAAACTAAGCTTGTTAGCAATTAACATTATTTTGCATTATTTTACATAATAATAATAATAATTATTATTATTATTTAGTACTTTCAATTTGGGGGATAGATATACTTAATTGTCCTGAAATAATGCAAGAATTTAAATAAATAATTTATATTTATAACATTTGATAAATATGGCTTCATTTATTTATTAAATGTATCATAATGTATGATATATTTCCTGTTTTCTGATTTTGGGGTGAAAAATTATCAGACATGTTTCTGTGACATTCACTCACAAAAGTGAATATTTGTTTGACAAAAAATAAATAAAATTACAAAATTAGTATTGAGCTGCATAAAGCAAATGTGTCATATGTCCTTAGTGTGAGTTTCATCCTAATTTGACAAGCAGCTTGTCAGCAGAGAAGCGTCATTTGTCATAGCGCAGCATTAGAGAAGACACATGGCGTGACTCCTATCTACAGCCATTACAGAGCTGCTCCAGTCTCACTCAGAGACATTGTGTGGCTAGTTGGAAGATGGTTGTTATGGCAACAGGTTGAGTAATTACCCAGAAAGCTATGGGACGGTTTGTCTTCCACAACTTTGATTCGCCGAGCTCCCACCGGAATGACAGCTGCCTCGATGTAACCTTTGGGAAGGAGAGAAATAAGAGGAGAAATGAGAGAAAGAAGGGTGGAAAATGAAAAGAGATGAGCGAGATTTCATACTGGTGCACAGGTGGGCAGACACAGGTGCAGGTGTGCATTTCTGTAAACATGTACGCAGTCGTGTGTGTGGATAAAGCACATGTGTCTGTCACTACAAACAGTGTGTATTCCTGGCCAGTCAGAGTAGATCATTAACAATATATATATAACATATATATATATATAAGTGTGTCAAATTCTTTGGTGGTCGACTCTGATCAGAAGCAAGGCATTTTCCTCTGACCTACACACACAACTCCCATTTCAAACACCATTGTGACACAAAGTGTCTGGGCAGTAATGATAAAACCAATCTGCTGTACTGTTTATACACACACAACAGCCACATTCAGAAACGGATGCTCAGATACATCACTGCACTGAGTGCAAGGAACGCTGATGGCTCCGTGTATGCCAGTAATTGCAATCGGTTCAGCTCATTTAAAAAGGAGACCTCAGACTCTAGCGGCTTTGTGAAACATGTTTTCTCATACGAAGGACGTGATTAGTGTGACCTCAACTGAGATGATCTGACCTGCGCGTCGGATGACAGGCTGGTGTCCTTTACTGCCCCACACTTTGCACCAAAGACGCTTTATACTCACCGTGTTTGTCCTGGCGTGATCGCAAACATGAGGTTATCACTCCACACACCACCACAAACCCCCGTTAAACACCCAAAACCTCACGACGGCCACCCGATCGCATAAAACACACCGAGCCCAGATCACAAACACACACTCGTTCACATGCCACCACATCTGGAGGACCTGCAATAACCGCTGGACTTCGGGATTCGGTTTCTGTTTGGTTTTGTTATGGAGAGTAATTCATCTCAAACAATGAAAGTTGAGGGTATAGATGTAGGAAAGCTTTTCTGCCAAGCCGTTATTGGCCTCTCCTGGAAGATGGACTGAAATTTGTCAGGAAACTTTATTGTATCAGTGATGTCTACCTTTTGAAAAGGAATATCTCACCCAGAGATGAAAATGATGTGTAATTTTCGGTCTTTTGTGAAATACAAAATGATGGTGATGCTTTACTGAATGTCTGAGCTTCTGTTCTTACAAAGAAAGTGGATGGTGATTAATACTACAATGCAAAATTGCAATACTACATGAACAGAAAACTCATATGAGCTACTTTTATGGCATTTCTGTCATTTTAGGAGCTTTAAAGTATAAATCATGTTCCACTTTTGTTGGCAACAGAAGACAACAGATCTATTTTTCAGTTTTACAGGAGAAAATGAAATCATACAGGTCTGAAACAACAACAGGGTGAGAAGCGATTACAGTATTTTCATTTCTGGGTGAAATATTCCTTCAGTGCCCCAGTAAAGACATAGGGTCAGTGTTCAGCAAGTATCTAACAGTCACAGAATCAATTTTGCACATTATAAGACGAACGAATAATAGGGTGATGTTTCTGTGTTTCTGGCTGAGCAAATGCTACCTTTCAAAAAGCTGGGGTCAGATTTGTTTAGTCTTTTTTGAAAGAAATTAATACTTCTATTCAGCAAGGACACATTAAATTAATCAAAAGTGACAGTAAAGACATTTATAATGTTACTAAAAGATTTCTATTTCACACAGAAAAAAAGTTATTTTAAAATTTCTATTCAAAGAAAAAAATGTATGACAGTTTCCACAAAAATATGAAGCAGCACAACTGTTTTCAAGATTGAAAAATAATAATAAATGTTTCTTAAGCAGCAAATCAACATATTAGACACTGAAGACTGGAGTAATGATGCTGAAAATTCAGCTTTGCATAACAGAAATAAATTACATTTTAATATACATTCAAATAGAAAAGAGTAATTTTAAATTGTAATAACATTTACTGTTTTTTAAGATACTTCTTTCATTATAAAAAAACACTTTCTGATCCCCATATTTTTGAACAGTAGCATATAAACCCAACAGATGCTTAATTTTAGTTGATTTTACCAAACCGAGGCCTTGAGAGAGACTTGAACTCGATATAACTCTTCCAGGAGAATCCAAAGAGGGCTTAAAGGGTTAGTTCACCCAAAAATTAAAATTAGGGCATAAATTACTCACCTTCAAGTCATCCTAGGTGTATATGACTTTCAGATGAATCCAGTCGGAGTTCTATTAAAAATTGTCTTTGATCTTTCAAGCTGTTTAATGCCACTGAGCGGGTGTTGCAGTGCTTCAGTCCAAAACAAGTGAAATAAAAAGCGCCCATCCATTAAAAAAAAGTGTCTCACACGGCTCCGGGGGGTGAACAAAGGCCTCCTGTAGCGAATCGATGCGTTTTTGTAAGAAAAATATCCATATTCAAAACGTAATAATCACTTTAATCTAGCTTGCGCCAACAGTTGTACACAGAAGCAGCTCCGGGAGGATGACGTATGAGTTCAGCGTTGCGCATGCGCCGGTGAGTCTCGTGAAAACCAACGTTTGTTTACAAGATCAAAAGAAGCAAAGTTTCCTTACTTTAGCAAAGGAAAACCAGTCTCCTCTTGGCTTATATCGAAATCCTCCGACATTCTTCTTTACAAATCCTCGTTGTGTACTTCTAATAAGTGACCGTTGTTTTGTTTTGATCTCTCCCCTGCG